ACGGCTTTTCTAAAGGGGCTAAGGGTAAAGGTGATGAACTGACCAAGCATGTCTCCAGATCTAAACCCAATAGAACATCTTTGGGGCATCCTCAAGCGGAAGGTGGAGAAGCACAAGATCTCGAATATCCCCCAGCTCCGTCATGTTGTCATGGAGGAGTGGAAGAGCATTCCAGTGGCAACCTGTGAGGCTCTGGTGAAATCCATACCCAGGAGGAGTAAGGCGGTTCTGCAAAATCATGGTGGCCACACAAAATATTAACACTTCAGGAACTTTCACTTTAGGGTGTACTCACTTTTGTTACCAGGGGTTTAGCTACTAATGGCTATATTTTGAGGTTTTTTTTTTTGAGGGGAAAAATAAATTTACACTGCTATATAAGCTTTACACAGACTACTTTTCATTTTGTCAAAGCGATGTTTCCTCAGTGTTGTTCAATTAAACATTATAATGACATCTGCAGAAATGTGAGGGGTGTACTCACTTTTGTGACATAGTGTACATGCAAATGTATAAATAGTTCGATCCTCCCAATTTCCTCACCGTATGCACCTGTTCTAATAAGGTTCACATATTACCACCCAGTTTCACAATAAACAAAAATGATCAGAGACATTTAGGCTCAAAAATCCCTTATTCCATAATCAAACAAATTAAAATGTTTAAGTTCTGTTTTACAGGGTGCAAAGATGTGACAACTTGTCAGACATCCATTTAAAGTAAATCCAGACAACGCTACAAACATGAAATGAACACAAATTCATAGTTTAAACTGAGGAAAAATGGCCTGTGTCACTTTACACTGGTTGTGACACAGGCCACCTTTAACCCCTTTGATTGTTGGGTATAAAAAGCATTCCAGTGTTTCAGCTTTTCAGAAAATTACTTTTTAGAAGTGCAGCTGAATATGCTTAACACTCTTGGTGTTATATTAGAGATTTGGATGAAATGCAAGTCTGAAATTGTTCTCAGATCACATCTGCTTTCAATTGAGAATGTCTGGCATGTTATGAAAATGAGAATAAAAAAATGTCACCACACACTGTTGAACAGCAAGAATGGGCATTAAAACGAAAAGTGATCGTGTCCTTATTCTGAGGAAAACTAAGAACCAACACAGATGGGATCCAGTCTGAGATTGAAATTTCTTATTTAGTTTTTTCTACCTTCTGTTTTTTAAAGCCAAATTCCTTTATCTTTTTCCCATCCATCCATCATCAACCGCTTATCCGGGGCCGGGTCGCGGGGGCAACAGTCTGAGCAGGTTCGAGTCAGTGTCAGGACCCCCAGACTTCCCTCTCCCTCGACACTTCCTCAAGCTCTTCTGGGGGGTCCCCAAGGCGCTCCCAGGCCAGCTGAGTGACGTAGTCGCTCCAGCATGTCCTAGGTCTTCCCCTGGGTCTCCTCCCAGAGGGACAGGACCCGAGCACCTCCCGAGGGAGGCGTCCAGGGGGCATGCGATGTAAATGCACTGATGGACACCCTTATGCTTGAACATGGTGTTTGTTATGGACAAACTGTTACTAGAACAGAAGTCCAATAACAAAACACCACTCGGATTTAGATCGGGGAGGCCGTTCTTCCCAATCACGCCCCTCCAGGTGTCACTGTCGCTGCCCAC